TTTGTCCCAAACAAAAACTTGCAGAATAACATTATTGCAGCTAAAGAGATTGTCCATTCGATGACAAAGTTTAAAGGTAAGATGGGTACTATGGCCATTAAAATTGATTTAGAGAAAGCCTATGATAAGCTGAATTGGTCGTTTATTCGTAAGGTTATCTCTGAAATACAGCTTCCGTCTTGGATGGTTGAATTCATTATGGCGTCTATCACAACTAATAGTTTCAAAGTGCTTGTGAATGAGGGCTTGACTGAAACTATTATTCCTGAACGTGGAATTCGAAAGGGTGATCCATTATCCCCATACATCTTTGTCTTATGTGTTGAAAAGCTATCTCATCTTATTGCTAAAAGGGTTGGCAGTGGTGTGTGGAAACCGATCAGAGTGTGTAGAGGTGGTCCAGCAGTCTCCCATCTCATGTTTGCAGATGATATTGTCCTTTTCTCTGAAGCTTCGGTGCAGCAAATGCAGGTAATAATGGAGTGTTTAGATCTTTTTTGCAGAATGTCTGGTCAAGGTATAAGTGTTCATAAGTCTACCATTTATTTCTCTTCCAATACATCTGATGCAACTGCAAATGCAATTTATGCGCTCTCTGGGTTCAAAAGAGTTAGTAGCATTGGTAAATATCTGGGCTCTTTTATCAGGCAATGGCGAAATTTGAAATCAAATTATGCTGATCTAATGGATCGGGTTCGTAAGAAACTTGATGGCTGGAAGCATCAAAGTTTATCTTTTGCGGAGAGAGTCACTCTGGCTAAATCAGTGATTGGTGTTATTCCCTCTTTTCATATGCAGAATGGTCTTCTTCCCACTTCTGTGTGTGATAAGATTGAACAGCTTCAACGAAACTTCATTTGGGGTATTAATAAAGCTCATTTAGTGGCTTGGGACACAATGTATAAGCCGAAGGAAATGGGTGGTCTTGGTATTATCAGATTGCGTACTCAAAATGAGGCTTATATTCATAAGTTGGCCTGGAAAATCTTAACTGACAAGGAGGAACTTTGGGTTAAGATTTTGAGAGCCAAGTATGGCAGAGGTAAAGATTTGAGGCGTGAGATAAGCTCTAAGCCTTATGATTCTAAACTTTGGCGGGACCTTTCTAAATGTTGGAACAGTTTTTTAGCCGGTCTTCGATGGGAGGTGGGTGATGGAGAGACTATTAAATTCTGGGCGGATAATTGGTTGAATCTGGATGATAATCTTTGTAATTTAGCTCCTAATCACATTCCTGATCTGGAATTGCATAAAACCATTGCTGAGATCTTTCAGCATGGTACCTGGGATGTTCGATATTTGAAGCAATTCTTAAATGATGAGCTAATCTCTAAGGTGTTTTGCGTTCCTGTTGCTTTGGAAGATAATACTGAGGAAAGGTTAGTTTGGTGTCAGAATCATGTGTCCTCTTCCTTAGTTAAGGTTGCCTACTTGAACTTGATGAATTTTCAACATGCTCAAAGGAATGTTCCCTGGAAGAAGATTTGGGACTGGAAGGGTCCAGAAAGAATCAAGACTATGATGTGGCTGGCTTTTCTTAATAAGCTTCCAGTTAGGAGTCGTACATGCAAATGAAATGGGGGTCCTAATTTTTGCATTAACTGTCCAAACAGTGAAGAAACTCTTATTCATGTCCTTAGAGATTGTTCTCAAGCCAAAAGATTGTGGATAGATTGGTTTGGTAGAAGGGTCCCCAACGATTTCTTCACATTAGACCTACAGCCTTGGCTCATGAAAAATGTGAGTAAGGGTTGGAATTATCAAATTCATGTTGATTGGAGAGATGTTTTCTATACTACTTGCTGGAATCTTTGGAATTGGCGTAATCATCATATTCATGATGATAGTTTTCGAAGGCCAAGCAATGATAAGCGTGTCATTTCTGATTTTATTGCGCATTTAATTGAAGCTAGAGGTAAGAATAGAAGCATTCTTGGCAGCTTCCCTAATGCCCATCAGCCTACTAAATGGTGTCGTCCTGAACCTAGTCGGTTGAAGATTAACACAGATGGTGCTTCTTCCCTATCTAGGCAGCATGCTAGCTGCGGAGGCCTTGCTAGAGATCACAATGGTGCTTTTCTGGGTGGTTTCTTTTTCAGATTAGGTTTCTGTAATCCTCTTGATGCAGAACTCTGGGGTATCCTCAAAGGTTTAGAGCTGGCCTGGGGTACTGGTGCTAGGAGAATGGAGTTGGAATGTGACTCAGAAATTGCTCTTAGCACTATCCAAGAAGGGAGCAACAATCACAGGATCTCTCAGGTTGTTTCTCGTATTCACAAATGGCTTGTTGAAGATTGGGATGTTCGTTGGATCCACACCTTTCGAGAAAATAACATATGTGCTCACTGGTTTGCTTCTAGGCATTTTGAGGATGATAATAATCTTATTGTTTATCATTCTCCTCCTTCTCCTTTGTTAGAGCTCCTTCTTCAGGATGCTTCTGTAGATCTTTTAAGTTCTCGCGTCGTGTAATTTTTGTTTTGTTTGGGGCTTTTTCCCCTCTTTATTACAAAAAAAAGGTATTAGGGACTGACAAATTTCGTCCCTACTAGGCATAAATCCGTCCCTAAATAAATTAGGGACGAAATTTGGGACAAAAAATTTGTCCCTAAATAGCCCCTCGCTAATATTTCGGGACAGAATTAAATCCATCTCTGATATGTATTTTTCGTGCCTAACATTGTCAACAACTTTGATTTGTAAAAGGCTAGAATCCATCTCTAACAGAGACGGAATCAGGGAAGGATTTTTTCCATTCCTAATAGGAACGGACAAATTCCGTCCCTAATAGGGACAAACGAATTTCGTCCCTATTCTATTAAGGACGAAACTTGTCCGTTCCTATTAAGGACCGAATTTGTCTGTCCCTAATAAGAATGAAATTTGTTTATCTCTAATTCCATCCCTAATTTCAATTTTATCCAAAATTATTCATTTACTTTTTAAAAAAAAAAAATTCAATTGATAATCATCATCCAATATGAACCATCAAAGTCACATAACTAAAATAAGATTATCTGAAAATGATATTAATTATAATCATATATAGCATTGTAGTCATAACCATTGGAAAAAGTCTTAATGATTAAAAGTATTGAAAAAACAAAAATTACAAACATTAAATAGAAGTACCAACAAAAAATATTGTTCACAAAGTGTATAAAAAAATAAAAATAAATTCCTATCGACTATGCTTATGTAAAGGGGCATTGCAATCTTCGTCATTGACTTGATCCTCATTGTATGCCTCATATGTAAGTAGTGTAGTCGTGTAGTCTTGCAAATTGATACATGAGAACAACATATAAGTGACTCAAACTTGGAATGCTTTCACATAGTCGCCATTAGCTTTCACATAGTCATCAAGGATTTCATGCTTTAATACATCACCTGCAACAGTGGAGGCAACAAATTAAAAATTTCTCACTCAGTGAAATTAAATTATTTCAAATACATGTGAAATATCATAATGGGGATGAAACCACAAATAGATTTATAAATATATTAAGAGGGTACAAGGAAAAAAAAAAGAATCCCTCACAATTTAGAATTTAAATTTTGAAATATTTTGTTTTCATAAATAACAAATAACTACACTAAATTGAATAACAAACAACAAACAAATATTTTGTTTTTATAAGTAACAAATAACTGCCTTCCTCATTTAATATTTCTTTTTGTGCCAGACGTTATCCACAGTATGCATGTTACCACCAAGCATGAATAAAGGGATTGTAGATTATTTATTCAAAGGAGAAACAAAAAGAGGCAACCCAAAAAAGACTGTAAATATGCATAGTGCAGATGAAAACCGTGCAAGTTAATAAAATTATACATCTCATGCACAGTGTGGATAAATTACACAGTAAAGAGTACCATTGAAATATATCACCCACAGAATTTACAACACAAATTCAATACATCACTTACATGTCACAATGATTTAGCACCACAAGTTTATTTGGGATACAGAGTCTTGGCAAGACCAAATTTCATACTATTAACAATCTGGACAACAATAGCACCAAAGGATCAAAGTCACTATAAGAAAAAGTATTTTCACCTTTGGGGCTAACTGTCAACAATGCTTTCGTTCAGGCTGTAAAAGATCACCTTCAGTTACCATTTTGCTAAATCCATTCATGACAATCCTGTTGCCATTTTCTTTCTGATCAGATTCTAATCTTGAGGATTATCATGAGCCACCATGCCTCTATTTAGTTCAGTATTAACTTCTAAGTTTTGGACAAAGTCAATGAACATACACAAGTTAATCACTATTACACTGAACCATCCCTATTAAACGAATGATACAGAAATAAATTCCTGAACCTCTTTTCAAATTTAAGAAATAGAACACTGATCCTCTTTCTTTCCAAGTACATTAAAATTTTCAATAACCACTAGCACTTTTCTTCAAATTGATATCTAGTTGAAGTCATTTCTTTTATCTTCAAAACAAAACAAAAAAAACCTAGTTTATTGATTGTTCTTAAGCACATACCTGATAATCAGGTGCTTGCAAGATATGTTCCTTCAGAATATTGTATACTATTTGAAAATGTGATTCATGTGGGGCAATAAGATAAGATTGCTTTTACCTGTGATAGCAAAACAGAACAAGCATTAATGCCTATCACTGGAAAAGTTCAATACAATCATTAAAACATAATCAGTTTGAAAGAAATATACAATAATTAAAACAGTTAAACAAAAAAAGAAAAGAAAAAAGAAGCCTAATGGTCAAGAAGTCAATCAAATGCGGTATTTTATTTACGCAACTATTAGAGTATGACACGAGTTACTGTAATGCAGGTTGTTCTTGAGCAAGCTTTCACCTTTGAGGCTTGTTCTTCCATTTAAACACTTGGTGAGGGTGAAGGTTGGTCTTGGGACTGCATTAGGGTGCTGTTTCTGAGTTAGAGAACCTGTGTGAGGGAGTTTGAAGAGCTGTGTTTGCTGTTCTTGAGGGGTATGACCTTTTGTTGGCATTTTGATGCTCCAAGATGCCTTCTTGTTGAGTGAAAGACCTACCTTCTTGTTCTTTTTCGTGCATCTTCCTTGAGTCAGACTTGAGGGGCTGTGTTGAGCTCCAAGAGCACCTCCATTCTGAGTTTTCAGCCTTGGTATGTTGTACCAACCTTTAACTTGAGTTTTAAGGCTTAAAAATGGAAGCTTGATGCATGTTAAGGTTAAAAGATGATAACTTGTTGTTGGGTAATGTTGAACACGCCTAGAAATGCATGATTAGGTGTTTAAAATCGGTAAAAAGGGAACCTTTAAGGGATATCTTCACGAAAATGCAAAAAATGCATTCTGTCGTGAAATATCCGGATATTCGTCGAACAGATATCCGGATATTGGATATCCGGATATGTGGTTTTGGGATATCCGGATATTGGATATCCAGAAATGTGAATCTGTATATCCGGATATATGGACAGTAAGATATCCAGATATTGCATATCCGGATATGGTCCCGAGGAATATCCGAATATTCTGGGATTTCGCAGAACAGTAGTTGTGCTGTGTGTACAGTAGGCTATTGGGGGTTTGTGGACCCTAGTTTGATGAAGTTGAACTTCTGTATTTAATGGACTAAGCCAGAATCATGGGATTAAGGGCTTGTGGCTTTGTTAGAAGCTTTAAGACTTGAAAACATAATGAAAAGGCGTTGTCTTTAATTTGTATGCATGTGGTACATGTTATTGATTTATATTTGGTCCATATCAGATTGTGATCTGCTGTGATTGGACTTTGAGCTTGTGGCATTGGATAGCTAGTTTAGAGGTAAGCTTTCGTGTCCTCGGTTTAGCCATGTTGTGGTTCCACCATGTCCCATGGGGATATGGTATATGCATGCTGTGTTACATGCTTTTGATGTTTTAGAAATGCTGTTGAGCTATTATATGTTAGTGCCTTGTTGATATGCATGGAGGTGTTTCACCTATACGGTAAGCCTGAGTATGTAGAACATACAAGAGGGTGAGGCTGTGGGTGAGGTGCAAGCGGTGTTCCTTGTACTAGATGTAGGGAATAGACGTATTCCTACATTTCTCTGGCCAGTAGATAGTGATTACACACATGCCATAGATATCTGTTGCACTACATAGTTTTGAAACTGATAATGATATAAATGCTTTTTGAACTTATATTGCACATGCAAGTGAGCTTGGGGTGGAAGATCCTTGAGGACCCATTGTCTTACTGAGATTTCTAGTTTAAAGATCTCACCCCACGTTTGGGGAATGCTTATTTCAGGGTCAGGTAACGTTGAGACCTCAGGCGGCAGGAGGCCGGAGCTGAGTTAGATTGCTGTTATTTTATGCTGCTATGATTGGATGCTGGATATGCATGCTGCTTATGCTTATAGCTTCGGTTTATGTTTATGGAGTTTTATGTTGAGACTGGTTGTTGACTATGTTTATTTGGTGAGCATGGGGATTGTCCATGACACATAGTATTGTTATGTCTTGATTAGGTCTTGAGTCTTTTGAAGTTGTAATAATGTATCAGGATATTGTCTGGATTACTTGATGTAATGCCGTGATTTAGATACACACTTTATCTATATATTGAGGTATTTCAGTAGATGTCTTATTGCAATTTACATACAGGCGATATTTTATGAAATTGATTAAGTAATCAAGTTGGTAATTGATAATGACGTCATAATTGAAAAGAAAAAGAATATTCCGCATTTTTAATTAAGCACCGCTTAATACGATGTAATGTTAATATTCCGGGTATACATGGGGTGTTACATTTTATGGTATTAGAGCAACGGTTCAAGGGAAAATCCTGTATGTATTGCAATGATTAGGATGTTTGGTTGTGTCTGTTTTGTGTGTTTGCTCCGTCGAGTATTATTATGATAATGCATATGTGACCACATTGCGTGGGCCTGATCAACTCATAATTTGTGTAACCTGTGCAGAGTCATGGTAAGACCCGGGAGAAACCGCGAGACTTCAGAGGATCGGCCCGATCCTGTCCTGGCTGCATTAGCTGAGATGCAGGCGGCCCGACTAGCCGACCAGGAGGCCATGAGAATGGCAAACCAGGCCATGCTGGACGCCGTCAGAGAGGCGAACAAGAAGGCCACTGAGGACGTGTTGGAGGCCAACCGTCTGGCGAACATGACGATGTTTAGAGTCATGTTGGAGGAGATGAGGAATGGCCCTGATGTTGGTCATGCTCCACCGCCACCCCCTCCACCACCACCACCACCACCTCCACCCAGTCTGCAGGATGACTCTCAGAGTCAGATGGGAGATGGAAGTCATCTTACGGGGGCCATGCAGACCGTCCCTGTTTTTGTTGAGGATCGTGATGAGATCGATCGCCGGCTGAATGCTTTCCATAAGCATAAGCCACCTGCCTTTGATGGATCCTTTGATCCTGTTGCTGCGGCACGTTGGCTACAGGCGTTGGACAAGATATTTCAGGTCATGCAGTGCACAGATCCGCAGAAGTTGATGTTCGCTACTTACATGCTGGAGAGCGATGCCCGTGAGTGGTGGACAAACCTTTCTCATGTCTACGAGATGCAGGGTCATGTGATGACTTGGCCTATGTTTGAGGACTTCTTCTTGGGTCAGTACTTTCCATATGACGCTCAGGAGAGGCAGCAGGGAGAGTTTGACAGATTGGTTCAGGGCTCGTTGTCTGTGGACGAGTACCTGGCCAAGTTCAACCAGTTGGTGAAGTTTGCACACTTCAGGATGGCAAGGCCTACTCCTACATTTCTGGCTGCTAAGATCCGTAGGGGACTTAGTGAGGATATTGCTGGTTTCCTAGCTGGTTCTGCTTCTAGAGATTTTGGGACACTGGTTCAGTAGTGTCGTGATATTGAAGATTACTACAGCTCGAGTAAGGCCAAGAAGGCCAAGGTTGCTGAGGAGACGAAGGTTGCAGCTGGTAGTTCCACTTCTTGGCGAGACAGGAAGTTTGGGAACAAGGGCAAGGGTAAACAGTTGGCAGCTCGGCAGGCGCCGAGTCAGTTCAAGAGGACTTCTGTTCAGGGGAGTGCAGCGAGACCTCCTGCTCCCAGGTGTTCAGGATGCGGGAAGACTCATTTTGGGCCGTGCTCTACCGGCCAGTTGTTTTGTTTTCAGTGTGACAAGGAGGGCCACTTCTCCAGAGACTGTCCGTTGGCGACGGCGAGGGCTACTGCAGTGCAGGCAGTGCCACTTCAGATGGTTCCCCTTCCACCTACTTCGGCACCGGTAGTGCCACCATCTTCTGGGATAGTTTATACTCTGGATCGTCAGCAGTCGGATCGAGCTCCGAACCTTATAAGGAATGTGAATTGATATCAGGAGGACGTGAATGAATGATTTGTGGATTCATCTCCAAATCTAGCTCCTCATAAGGAAATACACTTACACTTGAATCCATGGACGAGTTGATGGGTGATGATTCTCCATTGACAGACAGGTGAGAAGAGAATCACCCATTTTACAATCACCCATTTTCGCTACTTTCCTGAAAAAAAAAAAGACTTTCACAATTTAAAAAATGCTAAAGGAAAATTATATCTAACCCTAGCCCAGGGAGATATGTGAAACCTGATTCCAAATGCTAAAAATTTAGTTTGCGGCACCTGATTCCAAAGAGGAAGAAGAACGTGTTAAGCGTGAAAATGAAAGACATTACCTTAGCCTTATCCCTCAATCCCGAAACCTTGGAAGCCACGGAGTACGGAGGAACCGAGAATACGAATAACTTCATCGACGATGTAATAGGTTGGTTTCTGATCGTCTTGCTCCGGCGATGGCGACGGTGACTTCTAGAGCTCGAAGCCCATGACGTCCCAGATCTAGTGAATCCTCTGCTTCGCCATTGGCATTGCTGCAAAGCACCAAAAAACCCTTTCAGATATCCTCCTCTTCTTCAAAATCGAAATCTAAGATTAGAGTGAAATAATAATATTATGAATTTAATAAGGAAATCTAAAAGGTTATATTTACACTCTATTTTTTTCTTAACCGTTTATTTCTGCTAATCAACGATTAAGATTTTCGCAAATCAAATTTATTAATTAATTATTAATTTACAATAAATGACAACCTTTAATTGACAGAAATCAACGGTTAATATATGGTTTGTAAGAGTTTGTAAACTATTTGGGTTGTAAATATAACCCCTCCCATTTAATAAGGGGGAAAGATATTGTAACAACCAACTTGTGTTACTATCATGTTACTACCAATCAATCTCTCCGTTAGATCGATTATGTTGATCCAACGGTTATATTTATTTTCATCTTTGTATGTTTATGATTCTCCATATTTAAACTGAAAGCATTAAATATGAGAAATCATAACCATACAAAGGTGAAAATAAATATAAAATACTAAATTTGAGAAATCATGACCATACAAAGATGGAAATAAATATAACCGTTCGATCAACATAATTGATCTAACGGTGAGATTGATTGGTAGTAACTTGGTAGTAATACAACTTGGTTGTTACAATATACTTCTCCTTTAATAAAATGACATTTTAAAAGTAAATAAAAAATATATAATAAAAATGAAAAAGAAAACACTAACTAATGTCGTTACATGACGTTTTTCTCGTAGTGATTAGGGCTAGCAAATTTAGATGAAAGGGGGAAGGCGGCAGGTGAAACGACAAGGCAGGAAGTAAAGGGGGGAAATTAAATAATGGTGTGAAAAAATAGAAAATATAAAAGGAATAAAAGATAACTAGTGTCAAATATAATAAAATATAAAATGTCAAATTATCATCCTAATAATAGACTATTAATTATAAATAAAATAAAATATTAGTTAATGTATTGATTGGCATTTGGCACTATCTGTTTGTCATTTTACACTTACTTTTTTAAGATAAAATCAACTCTTACAAAAAAAAGGATAAAATCAACTCTATATTATCATATTTGATTATTCAAAAATTGACGATACAAACATAAAAATTCAAAATTTGAATTTGAATTTAAATATAAAAAATTAATTCGATCTACAATTAAAGTAGAGATAGTAAATATAATTTAAATTTAAATTTTATTTGATTAAATTGGAGATGAAGTTTTATCTTTTATTGGATATTGTGATAAGATTAGAGAAAATCTGAGAAATAATTGGGAATTTGCTAATTGGAGCGTAACATTTTTGAGGAAAAGAGCGTAATTGATTGTGAAAAGTTAGAGAGGAGAGAAAAACTTGAGAAAAAGAGAGGAAAATATAGTTTTGAAAAATAGGAAAATGTAAACAATTTTGGTGAAATATAAGAAATAATTCATAAAAAAGGGAAGAAAATAAAAAAATTCCAAAAATTTCTTATAAAATTCTCACTAAATGCAATAATACTTCGATTATAAAGGATTGAAAAGAAAAAAAAAATAATTTGAAGCGTATTACTATATATGGTTTATCCATTTTAAATTGATATTAACCAAAATAGGAAACAAATTATCATAATAAAATATAATAACTTAGCTTAAGATTATGCCTGAAATAAAATGTCAATTTTCAAAATATTTCTACAATAATTATCTTATCCCATAAAGATTTCCGCTCAAGCTATATCTTTCACAAGTTCGTATCTTAGAGAAAGTGCTCGTCAAGTTGTGGGAGTGATTTTATTAGAACAGTTTGATCGAAAAGTTAAACATTGGAGTAGATTATTGATAATGAGAGCAAGAAGGGCGAAGAATGTTCCTTGATTTGCATTGCTCACTCTTCCTTCACAGTATGATTAATTTAAAAAAATTAAAAGAATATAAGTAATATTATCATGTGTCACTCTTTAGAGAAAAATAAATTAAGAATTTTAATCACTCTCAAGAGAAAGTATTCTAATTTAATATTTAAAAACTTAACCAATCTCAAAAAAGTTATATGACGTGAGGTAACACTGGACATAGTTATGATAGTGAGTGATGCCCGTTATGAAGATGGAAAAAGAAGCTCTAGAAAATGAAAGGAGAAAGAGGTATGTCGATGAGCCTTTACACTATAAATAAATGAATTTCTTAATACCAATGTCGAGGTACTCAAATAAATATTTGCAACTTGTGATGAATTCGTTGAACCTCTAGATAAACTAAGATCATTATTGGACTAACGGTAGATATAGTCGTCTATTTTAAAATTATAATTATCCTCAAATAGGGGTGTAAATAGACTAGGTAGCCTATCAAGGGCATACAACTGTGACCTTCTCTTTGATTCTCAAAACTTCTTTCGCTCCATCCCCGCGTCTTGCTTTTACTGCTATATCGGGAGTTACTCCACGTATTGCTTGACGTAAAACAGATAGTGAATTTGTTTCTGTCTTTTGTTGAATCTTTTTCATAGCTCGACAGATAATTTGATAAGCCAATGATTCTTTTTCCGTGTTTCAGAATACGGTTCAGATATTGATCGAATTCATCTAATTCTTTTTTATTTGTCATTTAGTTTAGTTTTAATTCTGATTTATAATATTTTTCTTTTTAAAGAGACTTGACCTATTATATAGAGCAAAATAGAACTGACTCAAGTTTTGAAAAAAGCCTTTTTAGAAAACACTTTTAATCACAATTTCTTCCCACATAAATCATGTGATGTTATTTTTTTAACACAACCATCCAATCTTGATAATCCAACAAAAAGTTCATGTTTTATAATTTTATAAACAATAACATTTAAATACAAAATTAAGTTCGTAAATCTATCCCAATTAGAGACAGATTTTTTTCTGTCCCTAATAGGTAAGGATTATTTTTCGTCCCTAAATCTGTCTCTATTAGGGACAAATTTTTTCCGTCTCTATTAGGGATGGAAAATTTTCTTCCCTAATAGAGATGAATTATTTTTCCGTCCCTATTAGAGACAGATTTAGGGACGAATTTTATAAACCATATCCTAATTTTATCCCAAATTGGGACGAACAATATTCCATCCCTATTAGGGATGGATTATGAAAATTGAACATATTTCGTCCCTAAGTCCGTCTCAAATTGGGACGAAATATTTTTCCATCTCAAAATCCGTCCCTACTAGACAAAAAATTTATTTCGTTGCTAATTCCGTCCCAAATAGGGACAGATTGTTTTTTTGTCTCTAAATCCGTTCCAATTAGGGACAGGATATTTCTGTCTCTAAAATCCGTCCCTAATTCATACTTTTTTAGTACTGTTTACCATAATATGACGT